GACATGCACAAACCTTTTATTGGTACTATATGCTTCTGTATATCTAGCAATATTCACTAGTTGCATATTTCTTGCTGTTGCTAGCTTTACAAGTATATTTGTGAGATACTGTGCAGGAACATTGTAATGAACAGATAACATATTTACTGTAGTAGAACTCCAGTAACTTCAAAAGGGTTGTCTAGGTAACATAACCACTGCGTGTAGTGCTTATGGTACTATAGGGCTGCTCTCCATTGGTTCTTGGTCTAAACCAGGAGTTCCCAGAGGCATGGTGGCCACACACACACTTGCCAGAATTGCATGATTAATCAGCTAAATGTGTCTCCTGACTTTCTCCTCCAATTAATGGCTTTACAAAATAAACAAGAATGATATTGCTAATACGGAGCTGCAACTATGCTTTAGCAATGGCTAGAGATCAAGCAGGAGAGTGTGCTGCAGATGCCTCAAGAACCTCGGTTTTTGTCAAACTCTGAAATATTTTGGTCAAGAACCTTGGGACAGTGCTGACAGCATAATTGCGAAGTTAGCATGTAGTGGTCATGGTACCTAGACTGCACCTTTAAATAAGGTGGATAAAACAATACTTTTGGATGTTAGTGTCTGTTTTCTCTTCTCTTTTGTGTCTTTTTTTTTTTTTTTTCAAGTTACTTTGTCATTGTATGTTTTTGTGGTTTAAGTAGCTAGTCCTCATGGCTTTTAGCCAATGGAATTCTGTGCTGGGAGTTTATTCTCGTTAGTCATGAATTCATAGGACGTGTGTTCTGTTCTCAAACTCACAGCTTTGTTTATTGAAGTCAAGAAAAGTTGAAAGATTAAGTCTCTGTCCAAGGCCAGAGCACTTTTTGGCAGCTACCACTTCCATGACAGATCCCTGGGCTGCTTATCTTAGAAGCATGTTTGTAAAGCTAGCTGTGTGATTTTAATTTTTTCCCTTTACTGCAAAAAGTGTAATGTTTCTGAATTTGTATGAATTTTCTATTCCCCCCCCCCCACAGAATGTTTAATTAGTATTTCAGTTCATGTTCCCTTTTATGCCGCACACGGTTTTTGACAGAGATAAACAGAAATGTGTATTGTCCAATTGAATTTTCACATATAAATAAGGAAGTGAAAAAAAACAACTTATCTGCTAATGCGATTCTTAAGTTCCTCTTCCAAATGACAATAAACAGAATCTGACGTCTTGTATAACTTATACAGTTTTGGTTCATTCAGCCAGTGCCACACAGCTTTGTCTTGCATTTGTACTCTTGGCACGTCCAACATGGTCATTCGGCAAAAAGAAAATCATGTCAGCAGATGGCAGAGATTTAAAATATAATTAAACCATTCCTCCCCACCCACCCCTTCATAGAAAATCGCTTGTTCAGGACTAGTGCAAAGGTTCTAGTCAAAGTGGGGAAAAATGATCAAATTTAAAATTAAAATAAAAAATGCTGTAAAACCGATGTTATCATTGGTGGTTAAAAAAAACAAAACCTATACTAAACACCATGTTTTCTAATGTCACTAATGATATATACATGTCTGGGCAGGAGAACATAGTGAAATGTTATATTGGGGGATGTGGGGGGGTTAATGTATCAAAGAAGAAAAGATTATAAGTAATTTTAAGGAGTTTTATTTTTATGCAGATTAATGGGATTCTTCAAGTGACAGATGATTCAAACAATGGGGGTAGGACTGTATATGGTGCGATAATGCCATTCTTAAATAACTTAAGCTTTGAACAGATAAACTACATGTCTCTAGCTAAAAATTTATTTGAAAATCAGGGGATGCGAATGATATTAACAAAATGGGCCACAAATCATAAAATGATGTGTTGTGAGATGTACAGTTTTTTTGTTAGTGGGGTTGGTTATATCATTGTTTTCTGTTACTTTGACTAGAATTTAAAATAAATTTCGTTTTTGTATACATGGGATGTAGGTACGCTTTCGCTCCCACTGAGAGAAAAGCTACAGTACCTTTATGTGGCATAGCATTTTTTTTTTTATACATGACTCTAAACTTGCTTTTGTACTGCAGCTCTTTTATTCTTGAAGATACAATCAATCTAAGATAACATAATGAAACCAACAAGGGCAATAATTATACCGAGATTGGAACATTGTATTTTAGTAAAGACTTGTGATGGTAAGAAGTTAGTAATTGCTTAGCCTTAAAGAGCCCCTAAGCTAGTTTTAATCGTTGAGCTTAAACTTAGAATGCAGTTATTCCAGGGAAAAATTGGCTAGTAGTTTCAGATGTGAGTCAGTGCTTTAGAATGCAGCATGCAGACCTTGGATGTATTGCTGGGTGGCCAATAGCACATAGCAGCATGTGGACAGTAGTACAGAAAGGGTTAAAAGTTTTAGTGCAAGGTTTTCAAACTTTACCCATTATTTACAAAGTAATCGGGTGTTTTTTTTTTTGTTTTTTTTTTTGTAGGTTTCCATCTACTTTGGCATGGCTACTGCAGGTTGGTTGCTCAAAAGTTAAAAAAATATTGTCACTTTAAAACAATTAAACATCTTATCGCAACATGTATGGGTACTTCTTGTTTAGATGTGTTGAATCCCATTATACTGGTCAGTAAAAAAACAAAAAAAAACTTTAATGGATACTCTAAGCACCAAAACTACTTGAGACTAATGTGTAAGCCACAGGCAGGGCATGTGTGATTAGGGCTGCATAAACAAAGAGATTTAACTAATAAACGGCAGAGAATTAAGTAACAAGACTGCAGGGACATGATGTATGCACTAAAACTGCTTTATTAATTGGGCACACCATTTCTAAAAATTTCTTGCAAAATCCTGCCTAATTTTTTGGAAGCCCTCCCCTTCTAACTCAGCACAGGCTTTCTGTGACTGTCCAATCACATACTACCTAATCCCGTCTTCGCAAGACAGGTGCTCAGAGTAATTACCTGCTTCTTCAGTTTAACTCCACTGAGCTAAACAGACCAATTGTCTGACAGCCAGAGCGATATAACAAGACTGATTTATAAAAGTGCCAATTTCTATTGAAAACTGCACTTTTTGTAAAATGAAAGAGAGTACACACACAAAGCACTTAAAGCAAGCTGAAATGCTTTATGGGTCTGGAGTGTCCCTTTAAACTAATGTTGTTTTTGGTGCTTATGGTACCCTGTTAATATAAATTTCAGTTAAATTTATTTGCAATGTCCTGAGGAGAGCGATCTTCTGCTGAGCTTACTTTGAAAAATGAGATGCTAATTCTATGATGATATAGCAGAAATTTGGGAAAGTTTGGCGAAGCTGCCTCCGAGCTGGGATTTCTGCAGTTTTAGATTATTGTGGTTGCTGAGACATCACTTTTTGCTTTAGTGTCTGGGGGCTATGGCAGAAGATTGTCAAGGCTTGGCTAGAAAGGGTAATCTGTATATACATAAGATTGGTCATACTTTTTACTTGTATACCCGAACAGCGCCAAAGAGTAAACTGCAATAACTGAATATATTAATGGCACCATAGCAACAACCAAATTACAAAGGCATCTTACAGAAAAAAACCAGATCTTCTTGTGGGAAGTCATGTGATATCAGAGTGGTCTATTTAGACATAAGCAGTAAATGAACTTGAGGGGCTCGTTCCACCCATATTCTAGCACAAATTTGTGCAAACATATATAAATAAGAAGCCATAGTCAGGTGAGCCTCTTGACCCTTAATTGTCGCTAAGAGCATTGGCTGTTATGGTTCTTAGAGTGCCACTTTGGTGATTTTCTGTACAGGCAGCAGCTGTTTCTAGTATAGCATCTTGTAGTTTAATAATATAGCATAGGTTAGAGTTTATAGGATGTTCTAGAGCTAACATTTTGTTTACATTGCATGGCAGTTTTCTTTCATAAGTCTGCAGATACAGATTTCTCTTAAATATATCGTAGGGTATGTACACTGAAATGCTCTTTAACTCACTAACATAAATTCTGCTGCTAACTGCACTAATTTGGTTAACGTTTCATGACTTTTTACTTCTCTCTTCTTTTGATAACATGTTAATTGAGGCACAGTAAATCCCAAATGGCAAATTAGACATGCAGAATTGCATTGTATCTCCATAAAAATTTGATGCAGCTGTATATTCATATTGATCTAAGACTATGGTTCTTAACCTTTTTTTTGACAGGGACTCAAACCATGTGCTTAATATTCACTCAAATACCCATTCTTTAGTTGTAGTACACTGTACTTTTGTAGGTTGATTCTACCATCGATCTCTTATACCTTTCCCTTTTGTCAAAGCGGTTTTCTTTGCACTGAAAAAAATCAGTGATTCTATGGTAACCGTTTTATCATTTGGATTATTATTTGATATTGATTTCAAAATTTTGGGTTCTTTTACTGACCTCCCTAGATCAGTAAGGGGGTGGATTACTCAATTGTTTTAACTTTTGGATTCCGGGAACTTGTCCCTTGGTAAGCAGGACATACTTGGTATACCCCTGCTATGGGGGGGGGGGAACCTCCAAAAAACTATAATTTGTGACTTAACCCGCAAAACAACTTTTAGGGCAAACACCCAACAATTTCAGAAAATGTCCATAGATCAGTGGTTAATAATCCCTGAGTCAGGGGGCGGGGCCTGACCAGCATGGAAGATAGACGTGCCACTGCAGAGCTCCTCAGAACACAGGGCAAAACACGACGTTTCAGCCCTAAAAACTTTAAAAAATAGAAACCCAAATGGTCTCTCATCTGACCCACTAAAGGGCACTGAACCGACCATGCAGCCTGGGATCACTCTGAAACCGGCTGGCAGACCAACTTGCGCCATGAGGCCTGGCGACCGTAGAGCGGGAGAGGCGGCCGATCCCCCGGTCCGGCACCACGAAATGCTGACACAACGCAAGCAGGAACCATGTTACCCCCCCCACCCTGGACCGTCGGGGATGATCGTGGTCCACACCTGAGAGACAAAACGAGACTGGAGCGGGAACAGTGGGGAAAAGCGCGGGGAAGCATGCAACAAGACGTTGCACCCAACATGGCGGACGCCACGCTTCCCCTTGAACCTACAGACCCACAGTATGGGACCCGGCAAAGACTGGAAGCACTCTTCGACACTTTCTGGCACAAGCTGGAGGCTAAAATGAAACAGACGGCCTCACCACAAATAAGCGAGAGGCGTAAAAGCAGCAAGCATGGCGCTACCAAGAGGGCCGCCGAGCCACAACCCAAACCGAGCAACTCGGGCCTACCAGCGCAAACCCTGAGAGAGGTCTGTAAACCCAAACCAAAAACCAAACCAGCAGCGCCCATCAAAAAGGCGTACAAAGCTGCCGCCCTGACTACCCGGCATTCTTCTGGGCTGGGAGCCCATCAGGGGCTTACCCCATGCCGTCCATACACCCATGGGGACACCCGGGACAGGGAGAACCCGCGGGCCCCCGAGCCAACCACCATGTCTGGAAGGCTCCATGGTCACAAGGCAGGGACTCTCGCTAAGGCCCGGAGCCAGAGACTGGGGAAATCGAGCCGCAGCCGGAACGCCCGAACAGTATGGCGAGTCCACTACCACACGCGCATACAGACCCCAGCCAGGAGAAGCAATACTGACCTGTGGACATTGCCTCTGAGCACCACTTATGACCTGTGCACCACCCACGCTTCACTTGCAGGCACCAGGAACATACAGACTATGGGAGTCGGCTGACTTTCGGGAACGCATTGGGGGCTCGCCTGCTGCCTTATCACCACCTCCATCCCACCCCAGCGGACACTATCCTGCTTATATTGTACCAACCTTGTTGATTTAAGTGCAAGCATGTTTACTCATGCTAGCCCTAATGGTCAATGTCCCTTTAGACTAACTTGCCTAACAGAGCTCTAAAGTGTTTAAGTTGTTTAAGATTTGAGTCCCATATCTCAGCATCCCCCCCACCCCCCATATATAGGTCATACTACCAATATGCCTTAAGCTTCAGTCTATAACACGAGTAACAAGCCTTCCTAATTTCTTTTTTTTTTTTTTACTATTTTCTCTTATGTTTAACATGAGACCTGCATATTTAACTATAAGCAAAAGTGTACTTCGCTATGACACTCAAAGTTATATGTATACATGACCTGGCGTGTCGAAAATACACTCAACTACCATATGCCATAGCCTAACTTGTTTATACTCTAGCTATAAGTAACAATGAGGCATTGCGAATCAACAAATGTTTAAACGTTTATTGCATGATGTATGAAAAACTTTTTTGTGCATGTCCATATTAGCACCTACCACACATCTCACAAGGATGCATATCTCGATGCTAAAGTGTATTTTCTAGACAGTGCAGTGAACTAGATCAGTGACCAAATACTTCTGTGTTTATAGCCTGCAAACTCCTAATTATATACTTTGTTACTTTACTCTTGCTCATGTAAGGTTAGTTTAATTATTTTCTGTTTGACTAGCTTATGACATAGCGTAAAACCCTTCTATCTAGAAAGATACAAGCAATGTTGTTCCGTGTTATGCTTTGAAATGCTTAAGCAAAGTAAATATATACTGATCATAACATTATTAACACCAAAAAATGTGCTGGATCCAAAGTCTACCCTAATGTTTAAACTGTTTATCATGCGCTAGAGGACTGCCTTTGGGGGTACCTCACAAGTGACTGTTATCATATGCACAACTAAAATAAAGAATTAAAAAAAAAAAATAATCCCTGAGTCAGGACCCAAATGTTGGGAGCACTATCAAATAATGATCAGGTCAATTGTTCACAATAAACTGGTTACTGAGGAGTACTGATTTTTCCAGTACAAATAAGACCCCTTTGACAAAGTGAAAGGTCTAATGATGGTCGATGATAGGATTAATATTTTACCGTGTACTACTACTGAAGCATGGATCACCAAGCTAATATTAAGTGCATGGTCTGAGTCCCGATCAAAAAGGTTACAAACCAGTTATAGATCAATAAGAAAATACAGCTGCATCAAATAGTTAGCAGCCGTGTCTATTTACCATTTGGGATTTACTGTGCCTCAGTTAACATGTTATCAAAAGAAGGGAGATCAGGAAAAGTCATTAAAAGTTTTTGCTGCTATAGACAAATAATTATTGAATTGACTTGTGGATCTCAAGATGCACATGAAGTTTGGTTTAAATAAAAAAAAACAAAAAAACTCATCTGTCTGAGGATTTAGATTCTGGGTAGCAGGTAGAGCTGAGGAAAAGTCCTGTGATTCTGAAATTTTATTAAATTTTTTTTTGATTCATTATTATTTTTAAAATGTGTATTAATAAAGTATCAATAGACATGTTTGTTTCTGTATTTCTTTTTCTGACCACTCCTGATGTAATGTAAACGTTAAAGCTAATCTGTCACACATTTATTACTGTTGTGTAAATATAAGGATTTTTTTAAAAGTATGCCTATACCTCTACCAGGTTGCATCAGTAGTATGCTAATTGCTGCACCAAGCAAGAATGAGTGAAAAGTGAGGTTAACCAATAGCTAAATTACTCTTTGTGAGATTAAGGACGAAGGATTGAGCGTGTGATGCTTATAGAAATTTGGACTAAGTCTTCAGAAAGAATAAACCTAAGATAAAGTTCCTTGAAGTTCAGACATTGAATAGATTATTGGCGTCGGTTTAAAGAATTCAGAAAAAGACACTGTGGGACATAAGGAAGGTTATGTGATGTGAATATTATGTATTGGAGTTCACACGTAAACATTTCAGTCGAGTTTTGCAGAATTGCATTGTATCTCCATACCTGTAACTAAAATTCACTTTCACAATTGATCTTTCAACTTACTGATCTACAGCCCCTTCTAGAAAAGCAATATTCCAAAATTACTAAAAGTAATTTCAATGATACCAAACCATGTGATCATGCCTTTTCTTTGATCACCATTTGTTTTTTTTGTTTTTTTTTCTTGTCTGATCCAGGCTGTTTTTTTACTGTAGTTTTCCTGTTTTGTAGCTTTCCCCCCCAAAAAAATTATTTGACCAAGTCACGTTTTTCAGTTTTCCTTTCCCTCCTTCCTAAAACAACCATCAAAGGGTCCTTTGTGAATTTATTACACTGTCTGATTCTTTTGCTTTTATTTACACCAGGCTTCCTTTAGCCATGTTGTTTTTGCTTGTTAGCAACATTTTCCAACTCCTGCCTGCAAGTGTGGGTAAATAAAGGAATGGGTATATGTGTTTGGGTGAGAGATGTTGACACACAAAAATATGGTAGTCTGTAACTGCTTTTAAATGCTATAGCATCCCAGTCCTTTGTATCCATTTAAGAGATGTATAATCTATTTTTTGCATTTTCAAGGAGCACTCCTGCCAAGCACTTTGAGTAAGGATTATGGTGCTTGAATTGTTCCATCAAAGAATGTTATTTGAATAAAAGTACACGTTAAATGCTAGGTAACTAAGCTTACTGATGTATTAGAGCACTGTTCTAAGGTTCAAAAAATACTTTGTAGCAATGTTTACACAAATGATTGAAAGAGGTTATTTTTTTTTTTTCCACACAGACCTCTCCATAAGACTTTAGTCACCAATTTTACACTCTTGTTATTATTGACTGTTGGCCACAGCAGGAACTAATGCCGATTGGTATCAGTCTTGCACATCAGTATATTAACTGTTTTAGTATGTATGAAGCCTATATCCAATTATAGTGTGTGTTCTTATTTACTATGGTTTGTGCCTATCTTGTGATCTATGGCTTTGCTTTTTTTTTTTTGTGTGCGTGTGTAGTAAGTATGTATATGACCATGTGGGTTGACGGTGTTTGATTTCTGAAGCAGAAACACAAGCTATAGGAAAAGCAGGAAGAGAATTAAAATCATGGGATTGTTTCTTCTCTTGTGAATGACAGCTCACTCAGGAAGCTGTAAACATCAAGAAAGCAGCAATGTATAGACTAAACCACAACATGGATACCATTTGTGTTAATTCATCAGTGATGGAACCTTGAGATTTTTTTTTTTTTTACCAGCGTCCTGCTCTGCCATCTTGTAGCTGCTGTGCATTATAGGAACTGAAGTTCTCGCATGTATATTATGAGGCAAAACGTGGGCCAAAACCACTGGTTGGAGAATTTTCAGAATCTGTCACCTTAACCTGACTAATCTATATCTAGTTTGTAAAGAAATCGAACAATATGACCATATCTCACACCCAGTCATGGAACTGCATGCAATTCACATACATGCCTAGACATTAAAGGGACACTATAGTCACCAGAACAACTACAGCTTATTGAATTTGTTCTGGTGAGTAGAATCATTACATTCAGGCTTTTTACTGTAAACACTGTCTTTTTAGAGAAAATGCAGTGTTTACATTAGACTAGTGATAACTTTAGTGGCCACTCCTCAGATAGCTGTTAGAGATCCTTCCTGGGTCATGGCTGCCTAAAATGCATCCAAACATTCAGTATCTCCTCCCTTTGCATGGAGACACTGAACTTTCCTCATAGAGATTCATTGATTCAATTCATCTCTATAAGGAGATGCTGATTGGCCAGGGCTGTGTTTGAATTGTGCTGTCTCTGCCCCTGATCTGACTCTTTGTCAGTCTCAGCCAATCCTAAGGGGAAGCATTTTGATTGGGTCAGGCTACCACTTCTGATGTCAGCAGGCAGTGGGCAGGTCTAAAGGAAACCGGGACAAACTATGCAACTGCAGACTTGAATACAAGTAAGATTTCTATATTTAGGGAGGCATGAGGGGACCAGGGTGGCTAGGTGGTGGCCTTTAAGATGCACAGTTACATACATAATTTATTAATTACTGCCATTTATTTATTTATACATGATTTCATTGTGACCCATTTAAAGGCTTGTGTGCACTTCGTCCAACTTTTAACATACACATCTGTTGAAAGCCAAGTGTATGTTCAGCAACTGCATGCATGTTGCAGCTGCTATTAGCTTGCCTTGTAGTTTCATTCCTGTAACTACTTCAGTGACTGCTGAACTTCAAATTCAATAAATTAGTGAAAGGCAGTGTTTTATAAGAAAAGACCAACGCTATTATTGTTTGTTTTTGATGACTCACGTAGCCTTTAGCTGTTCTGCTATTGATGAGTTACAACACCCTCAATGCTGCATCTTCCTCCTATGTGTTATAACATCTTAAAGCATCATAGGAGTGGTAGTTTTTGAAAAGCTGAACCGCCACAGGCTGGTCATGTTTTTATAGTGTAAAATGACCATGCTGGTTGAGTTTGCAATCCTTGTGATTTTACTTGTAAAGAGTTTATTCACTAAATACCAAATTGAAGAGAATTGAAAACCAAATTGCAAAAATTAAGCAAAAAGTGCTAACTTGTAAAACGTATCCGACTTGACCATAGTCACAGCAGGGCTAGTTTAGAGAAAGAAATAACTGGTGCCTTGTGGACTCCAGGTAAGTTGTTTAAGCATTCTCAAATGGTTTGACTACTTAGACTGGGAGGGATCCAGGACACTCCTGGAATCATAACCACAGGTTGTATTGTTTATGGTGCTTGGATGTTACTTTATGGACCTTTTTTCCCCCCCTCTCTTTCTTCTTAACCCCTCTCCCCCCACCCACACACACTACACACTATCTGTGTCAGACACTCCTGAAGTTGCATAGCGAGTAAATTAACATTCTGATAGCACAAATTAGAAGAGCTCCTCCATCAGACGAAATTGCCCCACCATTTGTTTGCGCAACA